AGATATTTATTTATTTATTTATTTATTTATTTATTTGTCTGTGTGTGTGTGTGTGTGTGTGTGTGTGTGGCATGACACAGTTATGGAGGTCAGAGGACAACTTGGGGAAGTCAGTTCTCTCCTTCCACCATATGGGTCCTGGGGATTGAACTTAGGTTGTCAGGCTTGGCAGCAGGTGCCTTTACCCACCCAGTGAACCATCTTGGCAGCCCAAGGTTTATGAATTTAAGGCCAGTCTGGGATATATAGTGGACTTGAGGCCAACCTCAGCTATGTAGTAAAACCTTGTTTCAACAAACCACAACCAACCAACAACCAAATGCTCACACTTCTGTTGAGTTGGCTATGAATTCAGGAGATCTCACAACTGCAATTTTCAGGTTCCATTAAATGCTAGGATGGTTGACAGAACTCACAAAGATACTTTACTCATTCTTGTATTTTATCACGAAGAATTCAAATGAAAGTAGCTGGATGAAGAGGTGCACAGGGCCGGGACTGGAAGCATGCAAAGCAGGGTGCCCCTGTCCCTACAGAGTTGGGACGTGCCACCTATGGCACATGGATGTGTCAGTGGCTCTGAAGTTCATGGAGCCAGGCCCTCTGCAGGATCTGTGGAGAGTTAACACATGGGCATGGCCAAGCTGTTGGCCCTTGGCAATGAACTCCATCTCTCTCCTCTCCTTGAAGGTTGAGGAGTGGAGTTCAGAGTTCCATGTTTCTCAGGGTTTAGTCTTTCTGGCCACCAGCCCCCATGCTGAAGCTGGATAGGATCTTGGAGAAGGATCCTTCCATAAGAATGAAAAACTCCTATGATCCTAATCACATGGAAAATTCCAAGGGTGTGAAGAACCAAGTGAAAAGCCCAAATCTGTATGATATCTTAATATCAGATTTTAAAAATTGGGTAAATTGAGTTTGCTGCACATTTTTAAGTGACAAACTTTTGACTTTGAAAACTCATAGATACAATAATAAAATCGTTCCAAGTATGTGATGGGAAAGGTAACCGTGAGAGCAAAGTGAACTGACTTGAACAGCCTGCCATATTTAAATATTAAAGAAACAGTTACTTTGAGAAAAACGTTCTTCCTTAGGTCATCTAAGCACTTGCAATTTCCTTTTTTTAATTTTTATGTGTATGAATATATTGCTTGCATGTAGGTAGGTGCACTCATATTGTACAATATGTGTGGAGGTCAAAAGAGGATGTCAGATCCCCTGGAACTGGAGCTATGGACGATTGTTAGCCACCATGTGGGTGCTGAGAACCGAATCTAGGTCCTCTGCAAGAGCAACCAGTACTGTTAACGGCTGAGCCATCTCTCCAGCCCCCACAAAATCTCCTTTTGTTGTTAGAACTACACAGAAGGCTTTTCTGAGAGTGACTTGCCCCCTCTTTATTTGTCAGGAAGACATTTAAAATTATGATGCTCATTTGTATAGTTTTGCAAACTAGTTGTTGAATCTTTTGACTTGCAAAATTTAGCATTTTTTGGTGCTTTTCATATGAGGCACTGCAACCTTCCCTCCATCTCTGTTTCTTCTAAGGCCTATTACATTAACCCACTAATGCTGTGTTTAAACAGCAAAGAGCCAGTTTGGCAGGAAATGAAGTGGTATTAACAGAAATTCATGATGCATCCCTGGGGCCTGCCGAGAAGTCGATGCACCGCTATAAATATTTGTTTAATAAATTATAAATCAGATGACTTGAAAACACAGTTTAGAGCAAGTGGGATCTTGTCGCTATCTGAATAGTTCTAGTCAAGGCATTTTTTTTGCATAAATTAGATTAGAAGCTTTGATCTGGTTTACTGTAATTAAACAAAGTGTGATTAAACTGTTACATGGAGGGTAATCACATTTCTGATCATTTTATAATCTGGTATCTTTTCAGGAGGAAGTGGCTTAAATTTCACATTTTATTTACTTATGTATAATTATGCTGAGGGTTTCTAAACATTATCTTCCTTTTGTCACTGTGAAGTATTTGTATGTGGAGTCATATTTTCTATAGCCCAATTGTAACCTTACCTCTAACACTGGGCTTCCTGGCTTCTCAGATGCCAGCTGTCTTTCCCATTTGAAAACACAGTGAACTTTACAATGGGATATGCACTTGATGTAGTGTCTGACTCCTCCCTGCCTCCTCAGCTGCAGTCATTTGACAGAGGGTGCCCTTTCCAGTGAGCCACACCTTAGAGCAGAAAGATCTATGGACTTCCTTCTGAAAGGTGATACCATTCATCTCCCTTGAGCCTGCTGGGTTGTTAAATGACAGTGAGCCCAGCAGGGAGAGGCCCTTGATAGTTCCCTTAGCTTGGTGCAATCAAGGTGAAGCAGATGGAGAGGACCTGATAGCTCTCTGAAGCTAGGGCTGATTATACAACACACTGCTGTTTTGAAAGTCATTTCACACTCGCTATTGTGCATTGCCTTCTTAACTGCCTCTGTCGGCCCAGGGTGTCCCCATTCACTAGACACCGAAGCAAAATGATTTAGTGACTGTTAGACAAACAGTGGTGTGAGGGCCGGATTGGGTCAGAATGTTGCCTTCCGGTTCCCTGCTGGGCTGGCCTCACGCTGTCCCTGGTCCCTGAGATGCCTCTGCTCTGCTTGTCCTGGGTGCCCCTCATTGGCTTTGGATTTCAAGATCTATTTTCTTCTCTGCAGGTCTTAGAGAATCAAAGTTTCTCATACCCCAGGCTCTCTCTTCCCCTGGCCACACAACAAACCCTGAATCCTTTCCCCTTTTCCATGAAAATAAAACCAAGAAATTCTAATCTAGTCTTTTTTCTAGATTCTCTGGCTTGTTTCAACTCGGAATAAAATGCTATTGGAGGGGTGTTGCTTATTTAATTTTTACTATGAGAACATTCTGTTGATGGCCATTTTTTAAAGTTTAAAAACATTCTTAGAATTTTGGTTTAAGTGATTTTAAATTCTAAAGCTTATTGCCTCCTCTTGGTATACACACTATATGGAAAACACAGAACTGGATTCCAGCCTTGCTAGTTTCATGGTATTGAGTCTCTCTTCAGTTTTGGAAACTATTTCTCCTGTGTATATTTACTTTGTAGCACACTTTCCTTCCCCTGAAATGCTCTGTGACTTGAAGAGTCATTCATAGGGAAAATGAAGTATTTGATTACCTGGGACAGCTAATACCACTTTAGCATGCTACTTTTGTGTGCTATCTTGACATGCCACCTTTTAACATCTCCATGACCACCTTTGAGAAGGGCAGTCTTTACTCTCATTCAACTTAAGAGGGTAAACGAGGTTTCTAGTGGTTCAGGGCACAAAATGCCATAGACAGTAAGGATGGGAACCAAGCTCTGACTCCTTCAGGTAAAGGTGGGGTAGGGTACAGAGAATCTATGAAAAGCTTTGGACTGGTTTTGGTCTCGGTGTGGGAAGTGGAAGGAGAGGGTCTGGCAGCAAGTGAGGGTACAGTGGAAATGACTTCCATTCCTCCTGGGGCTACGCTCAGGTCCCTGAGATGGCCTTCTTCATTGAATCCATCCCCTCCATTTTGTTCCATGATTAATGTCAATATTTCAGCAACTTGGTGTAGATACCAGCTTGGAGGGTACATGACTTAGAAAAGAAAATGATCCTCACTGTCAGTTTCCTTGTCTGCAAGATGGGAGATTGGGCCTCCTTCTGTCTCTCCCCTCCCCCCCCTCCCCT